TCTCTCTCTCTCTCTCTCTCTCTCTCTCTCTCTCTCTCTCTCTCTCTCTCTCTGGCTGCTGCTGTGATTCTCTTGAAAGCAGATCTTGATGTGAGGGTTTCGCCAAAGAGGATTTGAGGCGCAGGCTTTTTTTCTCCAGCAGACGGGGAAATATGGACGCTGGTTATTAAGAGCTCATTCTGCGTTGCTTCAAATCGTTTTTGTTTTCTTTTTTTTTTCCCTTGAAGCAACTACTCTGGGTCCCGTAGAAGTAAGAGGTGCACGCGCAAAGGTAAAAGAAAACAACAAAACTGGATATTTTTTTTTATTTATTTATAGCAGCGTGAGGGACTGATCCTGCAGATATGGACTGGATAAGAAATTHAAAAAAAATGACTGCGCTTCTTTATTGAGCGAGATCATGCAGATGTGAAGGCATGAGCTGATGGAACTGTTTGGAGAACGAGATCCGCTTTTTGGCCAAATTTGGATAATTTCTTAAAAATAAGAACAAAAAATGCGATTATTCTACAAATTCATTAGGCGTGATTGTGACATTTAGTATTATTTGTTCACATTACTTAGATGTTTAAGTTTAAATCAAAGTGGAACACCTGCATTTGCAGGGGTTTGATGACAGTTTTTAAATTTTCCTTTCATGTTTGAAAAGCAAACTGCGGTGGTTTCAGATGTGTTAGTTTAGAAAAAAATAATGCCTCTTTGTGGAGAATAATAAGAAAGGGGAAAAAAATCAAAATAGGTTTTGAAAAGCGCATTCTGGCGTCTGCCTGAGAGCCAGTGGCTGTCCGATCTGGTCGTCTCACACAAACCAACCATTGTGAAGCAAATGACGCACTTTTCCTCATATTCTCACTTCAGCTCAGGGCAGAGCGTCGCTGCTTGTTGGAACGCTGCTCAGGACGCCGGTGCGCACAACAAAAAGTAATAGTTCTCATATAAAGCAGTGTTGGATCAGTGGTTTCCTCTTTTCTCCATATTACTCTTTCTTACATGTGTTGTTTTGAAGGTTTAAGCAAAGATCGGTTAGTAATTTAAAGGGCTAATAAGTGCATTATTTTCCACCACAAAACATGGCTGCAAATTTCCRCCTCTTATGTTGCAAAAGTATGAACAAGTTATTTTTTTTTGTCATCATCAGAGTTGTAAAGTAACTAAGTACAAATACTTTGTTACTGTACTTAAGCAGAAATTTTGGTTATCTGTACTTGAGTAATTATTTTTCAGCATACTTTTTACTTTTTCTCACTACATTGTTACACAATTATCTGCACTTTCTACTCACTACATTTTTAAAAAAGGTTAAGAAGCAGAAAGTCGTCACTCCTATTTTATTCTGAGTTATTATTACTTAAAAAATACTATCCTGATAAATTGTGTCTCCTGGTTAGAGTGAATTTAATTGTGGTTGGATGAGAAGTATAAATATTTACCATTCTGACACACTATTAGCTTGTAACCCATCATCAAAATTTTTTTTTGGAGAAGTCACCTCCCAATAAATGTCATTTTGGAAAATCTAACTGCTCACWTTTACTCAGTACTTTTACTTTTAATACTTAAGTAGATTTTGTGTCAGAAATTTACTTTTGATACTTAAGTACAAAAATATCAGATACTTGAAGACTTTTACTCAAGTAATATTTTATAGGAGACTTTAACTTGTACCAAAGTATTTTTATGATAAGATACTTGTACTTTTACTCAAGTATCACTTTGAGGTACTTTATACAACACTGGTCAGCACTGACCATGGAGCTGCTTCTTTAAAATACTGCAGTTGTTTGAGTTTGATTTATCTGAAACAAAACCTGCTTTTTCTTTATGGACACTCCTACTTTTACTGTWTTTTCCCCTAATTATTATTATTAGTATAATTGTTGAGTGGTTACCTGTTATACATCAATTCTACACAAAAAGTCCTTGAGATCAACCAATGCATGATTGTCTGGAGCTTCCTGGAAAGCCCATTGATGGTAACATAAGGATCCAGCTGGTGTTTGTTGTAACAAAGGCCTCTCCAGCTCTAAGTGGCTGACAGGCTCTGCTTCTTTCTTAATCACAGTATTAGTCTAAATCTTTCTTGAAAGATGTCGGCCAGAGTYGGTTTGGAATTGGATGTGTTAAAACCACAGATGAGTGTATTAAATCTGCTCTTTCTGTTTTTTTTCTTCCTTCGTTCGCAGGGTGTGTTGAGACTGAGGACTGACAGACAAACTGTTTCTTTCACCCCAGCTTATCGGCCAACGCGGCTCCTCCGTGGCACTTTTCCCTCTCTGCTGCCAAGGATGTGGGGTGAAAAGCCCACAGCGAGGCTTCCAGCAACTCGCCAACGGATACGAGCTTGAACATGAAGATTAAAGCTGCCTTTTCAGCTCGAGTGAAACCGTGCAAACATTAACTGGCACTAGAAGGAACTGTTTCATAATTACACAAATCATAATAACCGTGCCTAGTGGATATCTGAGGTTTTTTTTTGTTGCTTTGCTGCAGCTAAGTATGGCAGAGAGGACCTTTGAACAGTTCAAACCCTTTAGGCGGGTTTGAACAGTGAGAGATTTGGCTTCTGGCCTGGACGGCATGAAGTAATGGTGTTTACTCCAGGAAATGAGTGTTGGTTTAACCCATCCAACTGTAAATCTGTGCTAACAGTTACACTTTTGCTTTGCAATGCGCATTACACTTGTATGCCAGTTTAGACACTTAGTTTTATGCTATTCTACTCTTATAATCAACCCAATATTTTTGTTTTACTATCAAAAGTTCTATTAATTCATTCCCTGCTAGTCCTACCTATACCCTACACAATTTGTAGTCACACAATGGTTGTACAAAAGCTACACAGCACCCATTTTATTTGGATWGGGCTGCTCATTTGCTGCTTTGTGGAAATCGGCACATGTCTAGAGTTCACAGGTGCTGAGGGACAATGGGCGAGGTTTCCAGTGTGGAACGCGTGCTGCGAAAGTGAAATGAGCTTCAACATGAAAACGAAAAGTTCCCAAGGGCTGCTGGTGTACTTCGACGATGAGGGCTTTTGCGACTTCCTGGAGCTTCTCGTGCTGAACGGTAAGCTCAGCCTGCGCTTCTCGATCTTCTGCGCCGAGCCGGCGACCGTCGTGTCMGACGCGGCGGTCAACGACAGCCGGTGGCACGCCGTCACGATACGGAGGAACTTTAAGAACACGACCCTCGCCGTGGACAACGAGATCAAGTGGGTGGAGGTGAAGTCGAAGAGGCGGGACATGACCGTCTTCAGCCCGTTGTTCGTGGGCGGACTACCGCCGGAGCTGAGGGCCGTGCCGCTGCGCCTGACGTCGGCGGAGGTCAAGGATCAGCCGCCTTTCACCGGGTGGATAACCGACGTGAAAGTCAACAACACCGAGTCTGAAATGGTCAACAGCGAGGGGGTCTTAATGGATGTCTGTGGGAGAGCCAACATGTGCTTAAATGGAGGAATCTGCAGTTTGATCGACAACGAGCCATCGTGTGACTGCTCAGGCACAGGATTCCAAGGAAAGGACTGCAGCGAAGGTAAGACTTGGGATCAGTTCGAAACACAACATGACTTTGCACGCAACATCGTTTAGTCTTTCAAATTCAGTTAGTTTGATGTAATCACAATTAGGTTCAAACTAACGAGTGTCCTACCTCTAACTGGTTACTGCCTTGTGTTGGTCCTACAGTGGAGGCTATTGATCTGCAGTTCAGTTGTTTGTAAAGAGTGAGTCTCCTGCAAGGCCTCATTAGCAAAACATGCAGGTGTTTTTGGTCCCCAAAGGTGTCCTCCATTCTTATCAAATAGGCCTGTTGGGGTTAGTTGACCTATGGAAAATCTCCAGTGGGTTTCTACAATGAATGAGCAGGTAGAACCATTTATGAGTCAAATGGAGTAAACATGAGCAWTAACAAAAAGAGAGAACTCAAATAGTGTAGGGATTATGGATCAGTTGTGATGGATGATGTTCCCAATGTTAGAGTTTTTGTACAGTTTTTGATTAAAGCTTTAAAGCATTTTTTAGAACAAATATTCAAAAAATCAAACAAACTGTAGTTAATGTAACACCAAAACACGTTAATGACCCCTCCTGCAAAACAACTTTATTTTGTAATTCAGACACCAGAAATGTGGGAATACATTGCATTAAAAAAGATCTGAGATCCAGGAAATGTAAAAACATTGTTGCAATTCCGTACATAGAAATATAAAAACAAACTAACATAACTAAATTTGCTATTGGTGCAAAGAGGTGTAGGGGTGTGTTAGTCCTTTTTTGTTTAGATTTTTCATGGAAATTTATATTTAAGTACAGAAAGACTTTGTTTTTCTATTGATATCCATTTGACTTTTCATTTGAAAAGCACCACCTGCTACCCAGATTGATTGATTGATTTTTAAATAAAACCCAACATYTGCACCGGTGCAATAAAATTGCTGCTCTTGTGCATGTACTGGCTCATGTTATAGGACATAGGATTTTTTTTTCATCATAAGCCTATCTCCATCAGTGCAGTAGAGTAGGTTGTGATGTCATACTAAATGATATTGAATTAGAAAATCTGGATTGCATTAAGAAAWCAGTGCAAATGCTTGGACTTTTCACCATTGTGATGATAATCATGTGTTTCTATAAAACGCATACTACTTGCAGTGAAGATGTTTATGTTTACATATATATATATATATATATATATATATATGTGTGTGTGTGTGTGTGTGTGTGTGTGTGTGTGTGTGTGTGTGTGTGTGTGTGTGTGTGTGTGTGTGTGTGTTTGTGTGTTGCCTTAATTGGTTGCTGGAAGTTATTTTATAGACATGCAGTATATAGATAGAAAATAAGGGATTTCCCTCAACACTGAATTACCACTAATAATCCATCACATTATTAAGAAAACTTTCAAATTCATTAAAGTTAAGTGCTTAATTTTAATTAACATTATTAACARTTATTATGGGGATTTTCTGAAATAATATTTAGTTGTTTAATATGTTGAATTTGTGTTTTTAGTTAAGTTTTTATGATTGTTGCTGCAGTGTTCTATGTGTCCTTGAGCTAACCAGTTGTTTGTATAACACAGTTTAAGCATTGGAGTAATGCAGAATGCACTGTTATTAAACTTAATGAAGGCCAAACAGTCATTGATAAAATAGATCTGTTTCCAACCTGTCAGTTGACTAAAGTCATTACAGTGATTCTCTAATAGCTGCTGTATGACAATAAATACACAATTTTCAGAAGCTATCTCTGTCTGCAGACATGCAGTAAGGTTGGCTGTYCGGGTTAATGGGACACACTTTCATGGGAGTGGATTAATAACCTCTGAAAGCCTCGTTTCCAAACTGCTTGTGTGACTGATTGGAGAATTTATTTAGCAAATTTGAAGAGATTAGATYACAAAAGAGCAGCATCTTGAACTCATTCTGTGCTCAGAAATGTGCATCTGCTCTCTCATTTCATTTATTTTCAGAGCAGCCCCTACCTTACTGACCTGATTACAAGAGAGCAAATCTGTGTGTTGCACTCTCTTCTTGCATTGTTTCTAAACGGCATGGCAGATTGATGCAAAATCTACAATCAGAGAATATTCTCCCAGATTGTTTACCGCTTGCTTCTTTTCAAGGCTATCAGAAAGCTTTGTTCCTGAGGGAGTTTCAGGAGAAATTACGTTGCTTCCTCATGTGTTATTGCAATCTATGAACTGGATCTGTAAACTCATTTCTGATAGTTTGATTTACAAAATGAATGCATTTGTCATTAAATCAAAAATCCAGCAAAAGCTCAATTTAGATCCCAGTTAACACTTGTTAGCTCTGACTTAGCTGCAGTATGACAGAACAGGTAGTGCGCTGTTAAAAGTGGTTGATATATATAATATAAATCAATTAACAGAAAGCATATGGCTTATTGGTGCAGCCAGAGAAATATACTAAATCGTGCAGAAAAAATGCTATTTGCGAAGAGAAATGGTATAATTTCCTCTGCAGAGCCCTCAAAATCATGATCTTGAAATGTTTTGTTACAACAAACAATGTAATTATGTATGCATGTCTTTAAATTTGCTAAGCTATATTTTAAATGCAGATAGCTTAAATTGCATCAAGGCGTGTAACATCCTACGGGGTTGTTGTTACGGTCAAAAGATGTTCAGAAAAGAAGACGTTGAAATGAAAAGGAAATTAGCACGAAATAAAAGAAAAAAAATTGAAATAGCTAAAGCATCTTTTTAAAGCATTCTGTTTGGTTTGGCAAGAACAAAAAATAAATAAACTGCAAAAATGTCTTGACACATTTGTCATTTAGCAAAAGCATTGTTCATTTAATCAGAATGTGTTGCAAGAACAATGCTATATGGTTGTTTGCTTTAACTTTCTGATTATCCTGAACTGCAACATTGCATATCAGCAAAATGATTTCATTGTTTTCATATTTGCGATTAAAGCTATTCATTACTTGCAAAGACACCTCTCAAATCTATCAACCATTTTGGAATAAAAGCTCAATTTAATTACAAGTGCGGCAAAAAAATAATAATAATAAAGTGCCCTCTCATCTTTGGGTTGTAAAGCAAATCTAATGTCCATACATGGATTTGGTTATAAAGTACATTGAAGTTTAAAACTTATCCTTCCATTAAATAATTTAAAAACCGTTTTGTTACTTTGATCAGATGAAAGGATTAGAGGATTTGCCAGCAGACCTGTCAGCGCTTGTGCAAAGCGTGCACGCTGCGTGACATCGCACACGGCCACACACAGACACACACACAAATCCCTCTGATCGGTAAAACAATTATTTAAATGCACTGCACTATGTTCAGAAAGTTCCCCGAATCTCTCCTTTTGTTTCTCATTAGAGAAATAACATGGATGCATTGGACAGCTCCATATTTTATCCGGATAAAATGGAAGAATGTTGTTTATCTTCAACATTCACCAGCCAACCATAAATCACTGTAGGTGAGAAACTAGGGCAGATCTCAGCTATGACTTTTATCAGTGTGCACTGCCAATGCAATGCACACTATTGTGATTCGTTTTCCCTCCAAGTCATCTCAACTTTGCCATGCTTCTCCTCCTGCATGCTTTGTCTTAGAGCTGCCATTGTAATTTATATCTGTAAAGGCCCTGTGCCAAATGATGGCTATGCCTTTTGGTGCCTGTAAAACTTATAGTTTTTGAAATATTAATGTTTAATAAATTATAATGGCAGTCAATGGACCCTTGTATTGGTCCAATACTGCCC